CGTGCTCCCGGTTTTATGGAAACAATTCCATCCCAACTTCACTCTCGTACCTGTGCTTGTGTTTTCCCACCCTCTTCCCCTGCCTGGAGTGGGAGCGACAGATTTCTCACCATCGCGGGCTGTTACTTCCCTTCCTCCCAGACTAAACGCGGTTTGGACGATGGTTTGGGGGTGGTTTTTTTGAGGGTTTGTGGGTTTTTTTGGGGCTATCCCAGTTATATCGCGGTGACCCCAAAGCAGAGCCAGTGGAATCCACCCCAAGTAAAATCCGCAGCAGCCTCAGCCCAGCTATTCCATGGAAGTTGAATATTATTTCCAGGAGGGAGGCGATGGGGAGGGGGAGATCAGTCCAGTAGCCAGAATGTGGGTTCCCGAACAACAACCCAACTTTATTTCAACTTTCTCTCCTTCCAGCTTCCCTTTTCAAATGCACATACGCTTTTACTTTACAGGGGGACCTAAACGCTTTATTAACTGCTGAGATTACAAACCTCATTTGGAATCGGGTTTTTTTTTTAGCCGGAGTATACTTTCGGTCCTTGGAAAGTTGCCCACATGTGTAACTTGTTTTTGCTTCTCCTCAGACAAGGAATTCCCCCCCCCTCCTCCTTCCCTCCCTCCCTCCCTCCCCACTTACGGATTTCTAACAGACGGCAGCATTCAAACTGAGAGCCAGCACAGGAAATGGCAAAGGTAGATCCTTTTAGGCTGCAGAAACTTATTTCGCTTTTTTTTCTTTTTTTTTCTTTTTTTTTCCCTGTAGGTTTTACTCTTCAGGAGGGAATTTTTGTTGCCCTTTCCTGCGTTCGGAGGGGTTTCCATGAACTGAAGTTTCTTTCAGAACCTCTCAGACCTGCCCTAAATGTGTCGTTCATAAACTACGTTTTGCTTTATGCTGAGATTCTATTCTTGTTTCCTGACTCTTAAAAAAAAAAAAAAAAAAAAAAAGAAAAGCCATTCTCTTGTCGTGATTATCAGTATTATTGTTGTTATTATGATTATTATAATATTGGAATGTTTTATATCACCAAAAATAAACGCTCAGCCCTTTGAAGGCTGAGTTATCAGGATCTGGTCTCCAGACTCTCCATAGCCGTGAAGTTCACTCTCAGCTTTTATCCTGCCTTGGCTTATCCTTATCGGCTTCCAAACCTAAACTAGGGAAGGAAATACCCCTAAAATATCCCTAAAGTCGTGCAGGTTCCACCCCCGGCCGTGTCGGCCTCTGGGGGTAAAGATCCTGCTGGAATTCCCCCAATCCTGCCCCGTCTGGGCATCAGGACTGGGGGAAAAGCTCCGCACCCCCAGATCTCCTCCACCTCCTCCACCTCAGTGACAAAGAGGAAAAATCGGCTGGAAGAAGTTGCCAGTTCTAATAAATTATAACAAAATGCCTTTTAAAAAGTGGTTAAATATGTTTCCGGTAAGAAATGGACCATCCAGTCTTTTTCTTTCTTAAGCCCAAACTTATAAATCAGTAAAAAGTGGCAATTGCACGGACTCAAAATCTGCATATTTCAAAAATATTGTATATTTGGTTGCTTTCAGCTCAGAAAGGCCAACCCGAGGAGTGACTTGTAAAGATGGATTTTGGCAGTTGGGTGTTTCAAATCACTAGTCGGAAAATATTCCTTCTCTCCACAAACAATAAAGATTATTTATAAACAGTGTCTGAGCTCAGAAGCTTCTGGTTCGCCACTGCAGGCTGACAATACTCTGATTTTTTTCCTCACAGCCAAATAACACTTGGCACTGATTCTGCGAGCAGGAAAAAGTTTTCACTTCGAATTTCATTTTGAATAACTCTTTCCACTTCCTCTTCCCTTCACACATCACAACAACCCCATATCTACCATTAATCTCGTTCTCGAACCCAGCAAAACTCGCATATCCTGCCTCCTCTCTTCCAAAGATTCAGACTTTTAGACTCTGATCCTTGAGTTTTCCTTCTCCGAGTTCTTTTTTTTTTTTTTTACAGACAGAAGAGTTTTTAATTTAATTTCTGGTGGGCTTTAATTAAGGATTTAAAGTCTAAACGCCTCTGGAATGTCACCCGGAGCGGGCAGCGCTGCACGACGTGGTCTCCAAGCGAGAAGAGCTGGGATGAAGCTGTAATTTGCCTTAAGCCCCCTCTCAGAAAAGGCTACAGAGAGATGAGCGATGGGGAGATGCATTAAAAAATAAACTCTTGAACAAACGGAAACCTCCAGAGGGGCAAAAGCAAATGGATTTTGCAGATCTTCTTGTGAGGTTTCCATCCACCAGGGAGCTGAAAACCCTTGGTTTCTGCCTCACAGCCACGCTCCTGAGAGTCTTCTTGGTTTAAATTTATATACTACAGAAAATTATATACTCACATGCTGACATAGTTCATCATTATTTATAGGAGGCGCACCAGGATTTTTTTTTTCCAGGAATATATTTATTACAGGTAAGACACGGCCAATCTATCTGGCAAACAGAGAACAGGTGTTTTGCTTCAATTAACGTTCAATAATTTCATCTTTCCTTATTCAACACCCCGCTACCAACACGGCTGTTTATCCATCAGTTGTATAAACACATTTCCATGCGCCAGGCGGGTTTAATCTCCACAACACACTTAAATCAGCCCCTTTCCTTTCCCAGGCTCTCATAACATTTGCGGAGTCCCTCCGAATCTCTTGTGGACCGGCCTGATTTTTAAAAATCATTTCTGAAAGGCAATAAAGCCGAGAAATATGACAGCGCGAGCTCCCAGCTCGTATTTCACGCCTGGTGACACAGGGGCTCTGCCTTTCAAAACCTCACCAACTCTCGAGGAAGTTTAAAGAAGGGAGTGGGGAAAAAAAAAAAAGGACGTAGAAATGTGGAAAGTTGGAAAAACAAGGAATTCCCCCCTGGTTTCACAGCAGCCCCGTTTGGGTGAGAGGCACCGGAGCGAGCAGCGCTCCTGCCCCGCTCTCTGCTCGCTGCTGGGGGATCTCTGCCTGCCCCAGTGCCGGGGGGGAACTGGAGTTATTTTGGATGAACTGGAGTTATTTTGGATGAATTCCCCCCCGGAAAGGAGAGGAGAGTTCGCAGGGCAGCGGGAAGGACTCACCTGGTGACATTTCCCCACGGGTGGCTTGGCAAGATCTCAACCCCGAGGCTGCAGAGGGGTCCCCAAACCTCTCCTCAACCCTCACCTTGGCTGGAGCCTCTGGACGGAACCTCCTCGTCCAGCACAGGGAGGGTTTGGAGCTGCCTGGGGGAGCTCTCGGTGTCCAGACAGTCGCAAAAATTAGAATTAAATCTGACCTCCGGTTCTCCTTGCCCATCATCCCGAACCCTCTCGATTTTTTTTTTTGTTTTTAAATGAAAATGGGCAACTTCCGAATTGCGTCTCATTTAGACAGCCCCGGTCCTGGACATGGGGGAAACGCGTCCCTCCATCGGGCTGCAGGGCAGACGCTCCTGGAAAAGCCCCGCTTATAGGGATAAAGGGAAATCTCGGGCTTTGAATAGAGGTTTTTAATCGCCTTCATCATCTTCCAGTCTCAGTGAAACACCTCTGGCAGCGATTTCCCACCTCCGTTCTGTGCAGGCACAGACACACGGACACTCACACGGACACGGGGAAACGCGAAATAGGTTTTTCCTTCATCCCAGGCGGTTCTTAGCAACCCCTCACTGTTATTATTAGCCTGTTAATATAGATTCCCACCTCTGTACACTTCAGGAAGGATTCGCGCTGATTTATCATTCCTAGAAATCTCTTTGCCCTTCACTTCAAATATCCTTCAGTGTTGTGGGGTGAGAGGGAGCAGGACGGAGGGGCAATAGATTAAAAGAGGCAAATTGATCCGGACTGTTACAGCTGAAGTCCAGAGAAACACTTTTGCCGTGGTCACGGGGAACACCTTTCCCTTAACCAACATTTACGGCGCCATCGGAGCGTCTCGCAATAAAGGGATTTATCATCAGAACTTGGGAAAACCGAGCCCGTTTCCCCGCGTCGCTGGGGCTGGAGCCGCCCCGAACTCTCACCCCCGTGTCAATCACTCGCGCCGGTGCCAGGGAAAAATCCCCAAATCGCCAGGTTTTGGAAAACACAGGGAAAACGCGAGTGAGGCGGGGGTGGTGTCGGACCCGCACACGCACCGCGGGCACAGGGATGTGAGGTGCGAGGGGGCTGCGAACGCGAGGGATTCCTTCTTTGCCCCCTTTCTTTTCCACAGGCAATAAATTCAAGGCTATAAAAATCAAAGAAAGCTAATGTAAGTTTTATTAAACTATTTAACCATCGCAAGTTTGAGGCATTCTGTAACAAAGCCGGATCAGTGGTGCGCTGGATTTTACTGGCCTTGTAAAGTGAAATGAAGGCTTCTGATTTCAGCGATGTGGGGAACTATTTTAGCCCCAGCAAAGCGACCCCGATGATGCCGCCAAACACGCGAACATATGTTCATATGCAGAGATATTTTTAATATATTTATATATGTATCTGTGAGCACGAAGTCGAAGGCAGGCTCTGGATGCACCCAGGGCTCGGCAGCTCCCTGGGCAAAGTTGCACCGGCACCTCTACGCCAGTGGCGTTTTGAATTTCATATTTACCCACATTATTTTACCGTGTTAACGATCCATTTTCCCCCATCCCAGATGGTTAATTATTTATAACGCCCTCCCCAGCACTCCTGCTACCTACAGCCATCTTTCTGCTTTACAAAAACGCGTATATATGTGTGTATTTATGTGCGTGTGCGACTGTAATGAACGTATATGAAATC